GTCTAATGCATAGTCGTTTTGCGTGCGTTGAATACTAAGTAATTTAACTCCTTCTTTGTATTTTTCTTAGAATGAAAGATTTTTTTCAAAATATTACTCCATTTTATTGCGGCAACTTTTATACGTATCGACATTTTCATAACTGAAATCGGAGGTTGCTGTCTCAATAATCGAAAATCCGTTAACGCGAGAAATCGGGAGATGCAGTTACTAGAATTTTGTTTATAAAGTAATGGGCACAGCTTGAATTAATACCGTGTGTTCCTCTTTTTCTGCATCCGAAGAAGGAAAATTTTTCTAGGAAATAGCAATAAACGGTAAGAAGAGAAGGTCGACGTTCGATTCTCTTACAAAACTCGGATTGAAAGTTCCATTTCCAATTTTTCATCTCCTGACTTCTCCATTTCTAAAGTTTAAAAAATTTTTAACCTTGTAGCGAATATTTTTTTAAAGATTGACTTTCGAGCGCAGTAGTTAAAAGTATAAACCGCTTTGTTTCGTTCTAAGAAGAAACATTGCCGAATTTTTTCCCTTCTTAAGTATGTTTTTCCTATTCTATCCAAATGGCTGTGTTTTTCTTCTTGCAAAATTAAATTCTGTTATAACCAGAGACTAGGCTCTATAGAACTAGAGTTTATACTCAAGTGGAAGTATATTTCCTATTTATTATTCGTTAGCAGACTTTTAAGAAGTAATTATAGGAAAACTTTGTGGCGAATTGTCGTTTCCATTCATTCGATTGGAGTTTTACCGTCCGCATCCATTTAGATCGATATCGGTAATTATTATTGTACATTAAACCGGATAAAATCAAACATATTCTCATTACGTGCAGTCACTTTTTTTCTTCTTCAATTGCGTCCGAATATAACATTTAATTCAATACTCGTTCTAAGCAGAAATTTAACAACACTCAATAATTCCAGAGTGGAACTAAGCTCCGACAACACAATGCCGGAACTAAATTCCAGACATTCCGGCAAACTTGGAATAGTCGTTAAAGTACACTGACTGCGGAAATTCCACACTCGGTATGCTTTCCTCTAAGTATTTCCTGATTCTCTTCCCTAAAAATCCGTCCGAAGCATTACTATATATGCCGAAAACACCTGCCTCCTTCAATTGTCGGGCTGACTCCAGTTAAGGTTTCCCAGATTTTTTTCAAATTCTCCAATTTTGAGGAATTCTAAAAAGATAATTAGAACAGTTTTCCTCTTTAAAAGATTCTCGTTCTTTCCTTCGGATACTCGGAAATTTCATTAAAATCCAAAGTTTAGTGGCCATTACGAGGACAATTCTCTTAATAAGTGCGTATCCAATGATCAATCCCCGTTGATACTATCGTTGGCCGAGTATACCTTGGAAAAGTCCTATTTCTAATTCGTTTCCGGTTCCGAAGAGGAATATTAAGTTTTATCGCAATCTGTTGGACGCATTCGGAATAAGAATGGCCGATTTGACAAAATTTTCTTTTATCCTAATGCAAAGTTATTTAATTCGCTGGAGTAAATTGAAAGCGGCCGAATGTTTTTAAAAAGGAAATAAAAAGATTTTATTAAATAAAATTTTCATTCTTGCCGGTGAATATTGTCGAGATTAGTCGATAATTAAATCAAATTTGGAAATTAAATTATCCAAATATGGAATTCTTCGGCAAAATTGAAGTCTCCACCAATAACTGCCTCGGGGGATAAACATTCTGTCAAGTCTAATTGGCATAAGAGCAACATCTGAATGCGTAATGGACTTACCATTTGATTTTATTTCGATTTAATGTTGGGATAAACTTTTGCCTAATTCAATTACCCAGCCATTTTAAAGAAAAAGAAAAGCAAACAACAGATGTCCTACGCATCCGATTCTCCATTTTTTATTTTTTCGATTTTCATAATTTAACCTCCCGCTTTCCTTAACTGAAATCTGTTTAATTTAATCAAAATACGATTGCCATTATTAAATATGACCTTTCGGAAATGTTTAGAGTTTGCGGAGAGAGAAAGAGAAAAACATCTTTTTACTAACGTCATTGTCTTTGCGTGTAAGTCTATTTGCCTAGTAATTATCTTTTCTTATGAGGTTTAGCTTTTCTATTAAACCTTGCGATAACCTTCCAACTTCCGATCGTGGCACAAAAGTCCGGCAGTATAAACTTTGAAAAAAAAAATACGCTTTAAAGGGCGCAGAAAGTAGTTAGAAACAATCGATTTCTTTGGATAGGTTTAATGAATATTCATTAAAAGTCATCACGATTCGCGCGACATTCATCATTCTGTATTATTTAAGTTTTGCCTCCGTCCCAGCGCTATAAACTCTGGAGGAACATCTTCCGAGCAAATAAAAATTTAAATTACACTCCGATTCCATAAAACGACAAACTGCCCAACCGCAAAAATCCTACAATCAAAGAAATGGAGCAGTTAGAAACACAGATGCGCCAGTCGTATAACTTAAGGTTAGAGAAAGTTGTAATTAACGTTTGTGTTGAAGAAACAAGATATTGATCTTATTGTGAACCCGACTTGTCTGGAGGAGTAGATTGTCGTTCTGGTTGGCTGCCTCGCAACATTGTTCCTTTCTTGGTGACATAACACGACAGTACGTATCACGCTGTGGTCTCGCTCCAGGTGGATTACGATATGAAGCGGAAGAAATCGCTCCGAGACATCGCAGTTGCTGACCTTTCCTACAATTCAATTTAAATCGTTTGTAATTATCCGAGAGTTTATAGTTACTGCTAACTGAAATAACACGTTTCTCTTCTGCCTAAATTTGCTCCGCCGGCCAATTTAGATCTAGGAGAGTTATTTAAATATCAACCTTCATTATTCTCGTTTCTTGTGGCCATGCTTCTCTTCCTGCCAACCGTTAATAGAATTGTGCCCAACCGATTTTGATTTTGATTTTCTTTCTTTCTTCTTTATTGTTTTTTTTTTTTTAATTTATTATTGTCGCCCGTTGAATGGACCAATTTTCCGAAGGGTTGTCTACTTTTTAAAAGAAATTTTACTTTTCAAGAAAGAGTGCTGAGATCAGATACGAGACCAGAAGGAGAAAATAATTGGGTAGAACATTTCCATATTTAATAAAATTAAAAAGAAAACTTTACAGCCCAAAGTTAATTTTAAGATAAACACGAGAGTAATTTTTCTCTTTCAAAGAAGCGGAGGGGAAAAAAAGCGACATTTATTGCTCAATTGTTTGTTCTTTACAAAATTACAATTTAGCAAAACAGATGCCAAAAATTCGAGAAAAGAGAAAGTTCCGAGGGCAAATAAAGTTTTTAATCATCCGTCTAAACAACCCAACAGCATCTGTCAACTCCGCACTCTCTCTAAAAAAGTATTTCTCGCCCTAGGGATTTTCAGGCTCCATTCTTCTCCACTACTTTTTTTTTTTATTCTTTTTGCTCATTTGGTTGTTATGAAATTTGCACGGTAAGATAAGTGTTAGAACAATATTCACCAACGAAATTTTAAACAAACAATTTAATCAAATTTTAAATAATTAAAACGCTAACACGAATAAAATATTTATAGCTTTTCTACTCTTATTTAAAACCGCCAATCAAAATTCATAAAGCTGACAAGATAATATATTACCCTTACCGAATTAAAGTAAATTCGAAATTATAAAAGTAGAGACGTTTTTCTAATTCTATTCGAAATAAAAATTTTACAACTAAATTAAGAGTTTACAGAATCTTATCCGGAAATAAATTTAAACAGAAGAAAAATAACTCATTAAACCGGAACTAATTAGCAGTAGAAGACTAACCGAAGAGCAAGCAGAAGATGCATTTTGTAAGCTAATAAAATAAAAATTATAAAAAAGTAACTATGTTATTTTCATTTAATTTTATAACAAAAAAAAGAAATAATCGTTATTTGGATTGATCCGAATTATCCCAAGTCGGTTTCTAAAATCTTTCTAATACTTTTCTGTTTATTTTAATTTTTTTTTATAGTTAATTATTAAAAATTTCTTTACAAATCTTTATTCGACGGAATAAATTATAATTTATTTCTAAATTTCCAATCGTATATAAATATATGCACAATACTTCGAGTATTTTCTCAGTAAATTATTTATAAATATTTTCAAAGTGAATATTTTTTGAACGTAAGAAAATACTGTTTGTATCGACAGAGTTTTTTTTTAATTTTTATATTATTTTCCTTAATTTCATAAGTCTCAGTAGTTAATTTCTTTAGGCCCATTACAATCGATCATTTATATTTTTAATTTTATATATAAGGCGATATGGCTATTGTAAAATTGAATTTTTTTTATATTGCTTAAAGCATTTTAACGCGTAAAACTTGCACTTTGCATTAAAAAAAAGAACTAATTTTAACGGAAAATTCCCGTCTCCCTTTAGCATAAATATTTTATTAACATTACCAGATTTTTTCCTTTGTTTTTACATTGTAGAAAGCATTAAAACTGTTTTAAAGACGGCAAATATATTATAAGTTTATAATTGAAATAGTCGAGTATACTTAATATTTTATTACGAGGACTATAAAATAATTATTAATAGGGAATTACTAAAGTTTTAACTGGCGTGATTTTTTAATTATGCCGTACGAACTCGTTAAAATTTCATAGGTAAAACGTTAATTTTGATCGATTGTAATAATTATTAAGCGAAGAAAATATAATGGCCTGGGCATAAATGTTTGAGAGAGAAAATCCTAATTTTGGAAACTATTGCTACCAGCTATACTTGTCGCTTTTGTGAGAGGAGATAAATAAGAACGTTCTCTCGGGTCTGAGCGTAATTTCTAGAATATCGACGTCATCTCTGATATGTTTATAGATCTTTATTATTCTTCATTGTTCTCTAGGCACCGATCAACCGGCAAAGCTTCATTGATTTCTTTGCTTGGGAGTGGAGCATAAACAACGCAGTAGATAATATATTTCCTAGATAATAATATTTTTTCGTTCGAAATTGTTTTTTGAATCCGTAATTATTATTATTATATTTTTCTTTCTAGGACCAGATTTTTGGGGTCTTCTTAATCCCGAGTGGCATCTATGCAGTAGAGGTCGACGACAATCTCCGGTCGATCTCGACCCCACCTTACTCCTTTACGATCCTTATCTGAGGAAACTACAAATAGATAAACAAAGAGTGAGTCTATCCGCTTTAATTACGATTATCGCTTAATTAAAGACGATAGAAAAATATTGCTGCAATTACCGAACACTCGCTTCATTTTTAACTCGGATTCCATTCGGAAGTTAACGGAAATTTGCCTAACGATTACGGACGAGCGATTCTTGGAAATTAATCAAAGCGTTAAAAGGGTTTGCTGCTAGTAATTCCCGTTAAGATCGTTAGATGTTCGCTCGATTAATCGCGTGTAATAAAAACTATATAATCGACACTGTGCCCAGATATCTCGTACATCTTTGGGATTAACGCGATAAGCCAGATATGGCATTTTAATCAGCTGCGGATAATTCGACGTTTTTCGATCGGCATTAATCATCCACTCCGATTCATTTTATTAGCCGTCTTTATAGACAGATTTTTTTTTCTTTTTTACTCCGAGTTGGTTAAGGAAAGAGAACGGATAATCGATACTTGTAGTAGCTTCTAAGGTAACATATCGAGTTTGGTAGCTCTCATTAGAAATTAAGGCCTGTGGGTTACAGGTCAAAAAATACGGCTATAAAAACACCGGGAACAATATCATCCAATTGGGCAGAGTAGAGAAGACAAAACGATATTGAATTGGAAAAAGAATGAAGCTTTTCGACAAGAAACGTGAGAAGAAAGCCAAATTTCAATTTAATTACCAAGAAAGAAGTCGAGAACGTCCGTGACGGGACCGAATCTAGAAATAAAGCGATAGAAAGAATTCCGCCGATCAATCTATAGAGATAAGGTGATTAAGGGAAAATGGATTCGTCTCCCCCAAATATGTGAGGGGAGGATATTAATGGCCGACAAAACCAGTTGCTATCCTTAAAGAAAAGAAGAGAACTCGGTGATTACCGAGACTGTTTTTTTGTTTCTTTCGTTGCACAGAGATCATAACTCGGATGTTCGAAAAAAGAAAGACAGAGCGACATTTCATTCAGTCAGAAACTGACAGAATTGTTATTAATGACTGAATGGCGAGTTAATAATGAGTCCGGAGTCATCTGGAATGTGTGCACTAGGAATGGAAGTCCCGTTAGATATTAAATGCCGCGCGTCGATAACCTGGACATTTTTTCGAAAATAAAACGTCTCGGGATGGAAAATAATCCGGAAATGCGCAAAATATTAATTATGTCTTATCTGAAGCGGATGACAGAAGCAGAGGTTTCAATTTTTCTAGCACAGGTCATTCGATATCAATGCCGTTTGGCACGGTACACGCTGCAAACGTCCCATAATTCGTGGCGCGAAATCCGATCGGACCGTCAATAAAATCCGATAAAACGACAGACAACATAAAGAGAAAGGAAGGTAGTGCTGTTTCTTTTCTTTTTTTATGTGCCAGGTGAACGGAGTGATATGGAACACGGGTCACAGCGTGGTGTTCCGAGCAGAAACGGGTCCGTACGTTCCGGTGGCAAATATATCAGGCGGGCCCATGTCTTACAATTATCAATTCGAACAAATCCACCTGCACTACGGAAGACTGGATAGCTTTGGATCGGAGCACACACTAATGGGACGAGCTTTCCCGGCAGAGGTAAGTGCGTTTTGTTATCGTCATTTATTCCGTTGCGGCGTATTGTATATTTTAATGAGAAATACGGAACGGTAAGCCATTTTCTCTTTAATGGAATTGCTTTCGCTTCCAATACGACGGAGCGGGGGAAAAAATAAGAGAAGTCAAGGAATGTCTATTAAAAGGAAAGATATTTTAGACTGTAATTACGCGGAACGGACATAGTGCGGTTTTGGAATTTGCTGGTTATATTCGAAAATTTCGCCATTTAAAGATGGAGAAGGGAGGTTCGAGGGGCAAAGATAATGGCGCCGAATTCCCTCTTAATGTTGGTAGATGCCGTTAGAGGGCGTGAGAGAAATACCAGCCGGTCGAAGGCGTCTATTATAATGTCGGTTATTTGGAAATGCGATGCAATCACTCGCCACTTGCTTTATCTCGATTTGTAGGCCAAACCGTCTATTGATTTCCAAAAATACTTAATTGCCAAAATGTCTCTCTTTTTTTGCCACCGAAAAAGTTCCGTTTTACTCTATCGCTCGCTAAAGTTTTTATCTAAATGGACATTCAAACAAACTTGCGCCGTGACGTTTATCGACGTTAATTGTTCCTCCTAACCATTAACTAACGTCTTTCCGAGGGGAAAAAACTTTGGCACAAAATTTTATGCGCAATCCGACGATGTTTTCGATGGGTTTAAAATTTTGGAATGAAAATAAAACAGTCCTATCGATTATTTGCAGATGTTTATTTCCTCACAATTTATCTTATTTTGTCCGTCGGTGATTTATAAAGCGAAACATTTTATTCTTTTTCGACTCCAATATTCTCTTCATACAATATTATTAAGGATAAACCTTAAGACTAAATATAAAAACGGAACAAAATTCCAACAAAATACAATTTAATATCTGTAAAATCCCGCTGGCTGCTTTTATATTCCGATGCCATACATTTGCAACAACGACAAAATGGAATAACAAAAGTTACATAAAGAAGGTTGTTTGGTAAAGTAACAGATTTTTATGTTCACTTGAAAGTAATCAAACTAACAGCTTACTTGGCTTCTAAAACTCCCAGAAATGGCGCGGGTCAGTCACACCTAAGAGCGCCCCTTCTCTAATAAAGAAGTGTTTCCATCTTATCTCCAGCGCGCATCTCTTTCCTCCTTCCTCCCTATCAATCTTACTATTACTTTCGCCTTCACTTTTAATGACAATTAATTCGTAATTACGACGCTTCGATTTGTCCTTTTCTAACACTTCTATCGGTTCTTCTTTATTGATTTTTGGATACATTTCCGACTGGCAATACTTGCCTTCCAGCAACGACTAGCAATATTGGAAGCTTTCCAGTTAGGTCGGTTATCTTCCTTTTTTTTCATTATTCTTATTAGTTCAATCAACTTTCCCCTTCGAGATTGTAATTGGGGTTAAGTTGAAAATCCGTTATCGTTTTTCACTAATTTTATAATTTTCTCCGACAAAAGCAGCGATAAAATCCAAATCTAACTCGCCTTATATCGTTAAATGATGCCTTTTACTATTAGTCTGCGAGTAAATAGAACATCATTTTTTTAAATATTTTTGCGCCGTATTATTCGAGCACGACTTACCGAACGGATTAGCGATTTTTAAAAAGACGATTTCGGTAGAATATTAAGTTTAAGGCTGTACAAATGTTCGAAAATTGTCCATTAGAAGTGAGAACTGAAGTAAAACTTCTACTCTATTCATAACTCGTAGTTATGAATGCGAACGGAAGAGCTGTAGCCTATCGTATAATTACCGTAGCATTATGCGTCAGCAAATGCAAATACCATTAAGTATACATCGATTAGTATAATTACGGACGACATATTGTGTAAACGTCAGGTGATGAAATTTTGTACAAACTCCGTGCGGTAGATGCGCTATAAAATTCGTAAACAAGCCAGTCTATTTTAAGTTCTTGTGACAATTTACCTTTCTTATATTTATAAATTTAACTGGTTTTTTTTTTTAATTTAAATTAAAATAAAATAAGTTTGTTAGAAATTCAAAATTGTANTTAATAGTAGTCATGTTTTTAAATCCTGCCTGAACAAATGTTATTAATTCAAGAAATTTAAAGATTGTAACAAATGATAGCAATATTTACATGTAGGGCATTTTAAATGAGTTTGTTAGAAATTCAAAATTGTATACGTGCTAATTGACCTATTAAAGCTATTTATTATCGTTGAGGCGAATAAAAGTACTTAAACTTAACTATTATTTACTCTGGTCGTCTTAAATTAAAAGAAATTGAATTAAAATTTAAAGAAAATTTTTACTTAGCAAAATAAATTAATCGCCCGTTGAAAAAAGAGACCATCGAGAATTAAAAAAAAAAATCCTTTCCGATTTATATCTGAATGCGCTTGCATGTTAAGAGATTAAATGTGTGGCACCGTGTTCAAAGACGGTCTTTCACGATTAACTAATAATCTTACAAACAATGTCGAGTTGCCACTTTAAAATTCTTTCCACTCTGCAACTTAAGTAATTAATTTAAGAGATAGTTTTTCATTATAAAAAGTCTAAAAATAGAGTGGATGTCGGAAAGGGAAAGAAAAGAATAGAAATCATAAGTCGATAATAAAAAAAAAAATAAATATATATCAAAAAATGGAAAATCGAAGTAGAAGCCCCGTGTCGTTAATGGGTACTCGCGACCGCAAGAAGTACACGGGACGTCGTTATTAAACATCTGTACCACACCATTCCTTCATTATCGCCTATCGTGGCTCTTCTTATCGAATGTCTGAGTATAACCGAAATTAGTCGAGATACCCGACTACTCCCGATTTCCAGTTATCTTAGTTTCTTTCCCAATGTTATTGCAAGGTTCATTCAGATATTTACCGAGATACCGGTCGACGTTGGGCGGGAGAAAGATAAGAGCAGGGAAAAGCGACAATCAGATGGTTGGCCTCTGTTATCAATGGATGCACTCGCAACCTCCATATCTGGAATGTGTAATTCCAACTTGGAAACTTACTTTCCCGACGGAAAATTTGTCCAAATCTTCTTTCTAATTTATAACTTCACATATCGGCAGACTAGAAAAGAAGAAAGCGAGGGAAGAGAGAGAGAGAGAAAAAAAAAAAAAGCAAGAACGCAATTGTGCAGAGTCGTCGTTCGATTTACAGATTTTGTTCGATTCTGGTGGAAATTTATAAATGGTCGCGGTTTTTAATCTTTATTTTTGATTCGTTTCGACGGAAAATGAATAATTTGGTGTCTTTTTTAAATTTAAAATTCAAATTAATTTCTTTGTAACAAGTTATTTAGAAGCGAATGATTCTTTATTCGCGAAAATCTCCGCTCATCTACATTTCAATAAGTGCCGTAATTTGGCTGCTAGAAAAACCAATTCAAACAAAGAGCATTCGGAGATTAGTCTACTCTTCAATTATTCTGTCGAATTCATTTGTTACAAACTACTTGATTTTAATGGAAATTCCCTCCTAAGAACAACACCTTTTTTTTATCGACCTGACAGAATAACAACCTTACTATCGCTCTTACTGTTTGAATTTACATTTTCTTTTTTTCTTACTAATTTTGTTCCCTTTACGAAACAATTAGCTTTATTGTTAGACAAAATCTTAAAAGAAAATAAACTTGATAAACTTGCATCGTAAAAATTGGATCTTAAGTAATATTTTATTCGATTTTATTTCGATTAATTATTAAACGAATTCTATACTTGGACGACTGCTTGAAGTCTCCATCTCCGGTAAAAAAGGAAACAATTTTATTTATTGAGAACTTGATAATTTAGTTTATAAATCTTAACTATTTATACCATTATTTTATTCTGTTCGTGATATAATACAGGCCTAAAATAAAATATTTGTGTAGAAGGCAGATTTTATAAATCCACGCGTTTAAATTATTCTTTAAACAGTGCCAGATTGCCCATTAGGCACGCAAGTCACATTCTAAACCCCGGGTCTCGGGAGCCCAAAATTGAAAAATATAAAGCATTTTATCGTTGCAACTGTATATCATAATTTATAAATAATTCTATAGCTACAATTAGACGTTATTAATTCATCATATCGTAAAATTATGTAGAGGAATCCCAATCTTCTGTGAGTAGGAGTTCCGAATCCACCATTGATTGCACTGTATTTAAAGATATTGAAAATGGAACTTAAATCAAAGGTCCAAATTTCATACATATTGACGTATAATTTTATATATTTTTAATTTTTTTTAAGGTTCAAATCTACGGCTATAACTCCGATCTATATTCTAACATGTCCGAAGCCTTTCATAGATCTCAAGGAATCGTCGGTATCGCGCTTTTAATTCAGGTATTATTTTTATTCGTATTAATTTTCTATTATTTTATTATTATTATTATTAGTAGTAGTAGTAGTAGTAGTAGTATAAATAAATTTGCCAAATCTGTATTTAGATCGGAGAAACATCTAACTTAGAACTACGCCTTCTGACTAGTCAATTACATCAAATTATTTACAAAGGTGAGTCGATTTAAATCCGAGATATTTTAAAGTATCTCCTTTTATTAATTCGCCGAAGGTTGAAGGAAAACGAAACTTTCAATAATGAAAATTATAACGTCATTAGCTAAGCTTATCATCATTTAAGTTTAGAATAGATAATGACGGAATTCCGTCTCTTCATCCGCTTAACCGGAGTTTCACAAACTTACTTAGATAATGAATATGCCCATCTACCTCTGTTTTATTTGTTTACTTAATATAGATTCAGCTGGCAGTTAGTCTAATAGTATAAATTATTCGCGCTATTAAATTCTCCTCTTTTTAGTTCTATAGATTATGCCGACGTCATTTTCCGCTTCCTTAACGTCTTTACGTAACTATTTTTAGTTTTCTCTCAGGAATTTCTTTTGTGTATGTTTTGTTTATTTCAGTTATTAGAAACGAATCGTTGTATTGTTCTCCAAGAAGGTGCCACGTGCTGTAATAGTAAACGCACTTAATTACTATTTCGCGTAAATAAATGAAAGAAAAGAATGACTCGATTAATGTCTAGGTTTTCGATTACGAGATTGATTTGGCCATGTAGGAAAAAAAAAGCCACTGACGTAGCGTCGACGTCATCGTTTTCATCTCCCGAATGGACGGAAACTTTTACGATGTCCTAAGGAAAGATTGAGTAATAAAGAACAGTTTTTACGGCGAATCTGCCGACAACATCGCTTATTGTCATCGATATCCAAGCTAGAAAGGCATAAAAATTAATGGAAAAATTAGATCTAGATCGTTTACGATCCATCTATTTTACAGTTTGTCTTATTAGAAACAGATTCTATTTCGATTATTAAATAGAGAAAAAATATTTCGGCCTCTGTTTTAAATCTGGCAGGTTAAATCAGATTTAAAACATTATTATATATATATATATTATTTTTTTAAGGATAGCGAATTGTCTGTTTGAGATAATTATAGATGGAATTTCTTTACAGGTCAGCAAGCGGAGCTGAAGTCCCTATCCATCAAGGAACTTCTACCCGACACCGAATATTACATGACTTACGAAGGCTCCACTACAATGCCGGGATGTTACGAAACCGTCACTTGGATTATCATGAACAAACCTCTGTACATAACTAGGCAACAAGTAAGAGTTTGTTCAGTTTCCCCTATCTTAAAATTATTAAAATTCTTAACGTGAATAGCGTAGATATCACTGGATTTTAATGAAAGGAGAAGGTTTGAATGGAATAGCGAATGTTTCCATTTTTTGAACGAGTCTACGCTCGGTCTGTTGATGGCAATTTAATTAACGGCTAATTATTTGCAACAGACATATCCATTAATACAAAGACGACTGGAGGCGTAAGGAAGGGAATTTCAAATAGAGGGCATCTCGTGCAGAATAGTTCATTAATCAGCCATCATTTTCCGAAAGAGGACTTCTTCCGTTTTCAGATAGCTCGTCCCAATTGTCCTCGCCCACTGACGGATTGATAAAGGTTGAGGATTTTTAACTACATCATTGATAACAAGCGCACACGGCGAAAACGATATGCAAATGAAGACAGTGGCCATCGTCCTCCGAGATTATGCTATCGGAGATTAAGTGTTCGCTTAACTTACGAACTCGTCTACATTCGTCCGTTTTCACACTTTTATCTTTGTGTCTTCTGTCGCTTTATTAAAATCATCGGTTCCGAGTCCGGTCAGCCTCTTCTGGGACGAGCAAACTAAATTAATTTTGCTCAATATTTATCCGGTTAAGTCTAGGAGATAGCTGTTAGACGCGCGGGAAAACTGTTCGATTGAAATTCCTTCGATATAAACGCCGGCAAGTTCGTCTATCGATTTGCTGGTTTTAACATACATGCCAGATGTCGACCGAAACATTGGCGGCGATATTTTATAAAATTTCAAGAATTAGAAAGTCTGATGAATACCGGAGATAAGATTGGCGATGGACAAAGAATTTACGACGTCGTCTCTTACTTTTACGACAGAGCGATTTTCGCGACTCGTCTTCTTAGGATTAGCGATTAAAAATGGAGTTGTTAATTGGCCGCGCTTCCTTCTATTTCAGTTTTACGCTCTTCGAAAGTTGATGCAGGGAGACCCCGAAAATTCTAAGGCGCCGTTAGGTAACAATTACCGACCGACGCAGCCCTTTCACCATCGCGTCGTTCGCACAAATATTGATTTCTCCAGAAAATTGGTAAGTACTTAGTTAAAATATTGTAACCCGTTGTGGAAAGAGAGAAAAACAACGAGCCGCGATTCCGTTATCAAAAGTGGCAAACTTTAAATTATGTAACGCATTTTGTGGGAAAAGAGCGGTTGGTCCGCATCTGGAAGAATATATTGGCCGTGATAAAAGTAAAACAATGGGATGCTTCACCTTTTTCGCGCGATTTATGGGCTATTGAAAATATTTATTAGTAATTTTCAGAATAAATTTGACAGTTTTCAGGTAAAATTTATATTCGGAGATTTGTAACAAAATCTTTCTTTTGGACCGAGCGATTTGGATGAAACTCGAACCCGGGACAATCAGAGGCGAAATCGAACTACATCCTCTACTGAGGCATTTTATTTTCAGATTTGGTCGACTCTTTGCGTATTCGCTATTCTCTCTTAAACGTGACGGTATCCGAAGATATCAAAAATTCTTTTCTCGCGTCGCGTTGTTTGTCATTGTCAACACGAGGGGAATTTCCACATAACATCATTGTTGGTTCGTTCGGCACGTGACCATTTGAATCGGACCCATTTGTCTGCCAACAATGTTACTCCCCGAGGTTTATAAAAGGATGTGGTATCGATCAAAATTCAACTTGTGATCTTTTAACTCGAAAAGGGAACGTATCTCCTTCTGTAAACGTAACTCTCCTGGATCTGCGGTCATTTTTGTTACAGAGGATGCTTCCGTTTCCAATGGTTTCGGAGCGAACCGAACGGACTTGTATATAAAGGCCGGTCGTATCGATAGCGAATGGCGAAAACGATAGAACGTCTGAACGGAACGAATTGTTAGTTATGTCAATAATTATTGTACAAGTAAACATCTATTAATTAGTCAGTTGGGCAGCATGTAAATTAGCCAAACAGCTGCCTAATTCATACGCCGGTCCCACGAGAATCTAACGGGTGATGCGGGAAGTAAATTAAGGGAATTGAAATGATAGTTTGGTTACTTATCGTTACAGGGTCATCAATGCCCCACTATGAGGAATAACATATTCTATCAAGGTAAGTCAGATCATGGTAATCTATTAATCTTTGTGTTGTTGTATTTAATGTGGATTTTACGCGCCTAGTAAACAAGAGGAACTGAAGATTATGAGGAAAGTAGTCGAGTGCAATCTCACAAAGACGAATTGCCAGGCTTAGTTCAATTCTGTACGGACTTCATACAAGCTAGGCCTAGACTGATAAAGTCCATTTTGCTACGCCAAATAAGCAGGACCTCTTCAGCACTCCCAAATAACCAACTAACCGGCTCATCCTTACGATTCGTAAGTCACCTTATCGATTTCTACCATTTTCTGTTTACGTTTGATTTTTAAATTCAGTTTTCCTGCAGGATGTGACATTCTCGGAAAAAGTAAACGTGTCCACGAGTCGAGATTTTTTCCTAAGCGACATATATTGGTCTGATTGAGAAAGACAGTTTGTCGTTTAACGTGGATGTAAAATATCTAGAAATAGACGGGTAATTGGAACCGAGGTGCAGTAAAAGTGGTAAAGTGCCTGCATATGAAAATAGACAATGGTGTCTTCGTCGGCTCCCACTCGTACGAGAATTCTTGCTATTCTGAAATTCTCGCAAATAAACAAAAATAGGTTTCGTTGATTCGTGCCAAGGACATGTTTGCCATGTATGTTAAATTTATTACAATATGTTTATTTAGCATATCTGAAGACACTCTAGGTCCTATTCAATTGTTGCACGTCTTTATTTAATCATCGATTCTTCTTTAGTTCTGTAATTTTTTTTATATATATTATGTGAAGAACGTATAAAAACATCTTATGTGAAAAGAAAAATATTATTATTCTTACATCCAACATTAAAATCTGAATACGTTCGGATTTTGCACGAAAGGTGAACAAATAATTTAATGAAAGTGTTATAGAAAGAGACGTCTTTGTACATTTATGCAATACTGCGAATGATGAGGACTGCCTGTTGTGGAGAATAGTTTTTTGTAGAAAGTCCACGAATAATTAGATATAAACATATATAGTTCTTCGGAGATGCACCTAATCAAACCTGTGCGCGGGATCCGCTGAAGAGTGCCCTGTTAACTAACTAACTGAACAAGTCTTTCTTTTTTGGATTTGAAAATCTTGGTCTTCCTCTGATATTTTCATTTACCAGATATCCTAATCCAGTAGTTTCGACGCATTTTAAAGTCAATGGACATATCTGGTGCTCCCGTCGCTGTCCTTTGACCAACCTTGCCTTTAACAAAGGAATCTTTGCACTAAAGCCAAGTTAGTTCACGAAATGATGCAACTGGAGAAACAGATCTGTACACCTGTTTTGCCATTTATTCGTGCTTAATACTTTTAATTGTCCAAGAAATAAATTGTGTAAATAACTGTATGCAACAACTAAAAATTTTATAATAAAAAAACTGAAGCCCAAAGTGTTCTCTGGCCGTCTATCAACTTAATGGAGATGTTTCCATTTACATTGTGTTTAACATTTGCTCCCTTCCGTAAAGTGTTAGTCAAAAACGTCTCGGAAAGACATCTTTGGCAAATACCATTACGCGAATAAATCCACAAAAGTTTTTCCTTTTTTTTTCTCTTTTTTAAATTCCCAAACGATATTGGTCGAGCGAACAAAAAACTAAAAGGCAATTTTTATCGTTGGAATTCCAACAAACATCTGCCGTTGACAGAGAGACGTCTGTTCCGTTTAGAAGCAAAAAATGGCTATATAGCCTTTCCATTATTGGTCAATTGACGGGATCTGTCGCGGGGCACGCGTAACAATCGACATTTTGACAATTTTATCTGCGAAAATACGCGTGGTCCTTCCGCATCGGACTAAACGACTCTTCAATCAATCGCTGCCGGTTATATAATTGAATTAAAAATTGGCCGGAAGGTTGGTTGAAAACTTCTTTAAAGATAAATTACCACTATAACATTTATTAAGAAAGAAATCCTCGGGTAAAAAATAAAATAAAATAAAATAAATAAAATAGAAACGTGTGTAGTCAGTCAGTCCTAAACGAGATTCTGTACAACACGAAAGAAAAAATCAGAAGGAATGGCTTTGGGTTGTCCTCTCGACTGTCACCTAGTGTTGATGTCTGTCGAGTGATGGTGCTTTAAACGACACCCTTCTACGCGCCCCCTGCCGTTTGGAGTAAACAATCCGCCTCTATTTCCTCGTCGTTTGATTTTCTCTTTTCTGCTTTCAAACGAAAAATCGAACGTAGTCCGTCTGCCTCTGCAATCGAACGCCAGAAGACAACAACTACGTAATTTACCGGCATCCATCACTTTCTATCCGATTAATAATCGGTTATCTGAGAAAGGACAAGTTTTGTTAAATATTCGATTTTTTTTCTTCTTTATTCCCTTTGGCTTTGCCACTTTCGGATTGCGAGAACGGCTTCTGCAACAGTTTTACCTTATTAATTATCTGGAATTTATTAGAGAAGCTGTCCGATCGCTTCCCTTTTCAATTAATACGGATAATGCTGGAGAAAATGAAGTTTCCTTCTACCGTTTGTTAAATTCATTTGGCTAACTGCCGGATTGGCCCGGGGTCAATATGCATTCCGAGGTTCTCTTTCCGCGCAGGCGTGCCCATTAACATTCGCCTGTAACCATTTACCGTCAACTTTTGCTTTCTTTCCTTTTTTTCCTCTCTCTCTCCTTCCAGATCGTGCTAGGATTATTCTCCTTCTGCCACTGTATTGAGGACTTTGCGAAATTTTTATTATCCATAATTATCTTTCGAACACTCGGTTTTGTTTCTTACTTGCTACTAAAAAAATTGCATCGAAAAACCATTTTCAATCTGGCTGTTTGCACTTTTCTCTCGTTCGTTTTCTTGTTTCGTGATGGAATATCGGTAGACGGGTGTTTTGATTAATCGTAGAAGCGACTAATTACCGAATAGACCATTTTCATTAACATAAATATGATAATGGAATTGTTTAGAGATAAATAAGTTACCTCGCAAACCAGTAGAATGCAATCAAAAATTGGATTTGGACTTTTGTCATCATTAAAATAAATAAGCAAACTGTAAAAATAGCCTAAAAGAAATCGAATGCGGGTCGTCGAATGCATTAATTTGTCAAGAATCGTCTAACAAAGGTGTTTAAAAAAACTTTCTTTTGCCGAGTTAACATTTTGCTAATGGAGCGAATAAAATATGTTTTGCCGCGGCACGTCATCAGACTCATTACCTTCTTGTTTTTAATTAGTATCGATGTGTCTACATGGCAATTACGTTTGATATTTACGGTCCCGAGAGACGAAATAACGCCTCTTCTTCACACTTCACGCATCGGAAGTCTGAATTTCGCAATAAGGCATTAACCTCCTATATTTGATTAGTCGTTTGAATGCATCAAAATTTTATCAGCCGTCTTCGCCTAACAAAACAAATTTAATCAAAGAAACTAAAATTGAATTAAATCGACAGGATAAAAAAGAAACAAAGCCTTCTTGCCTTATTTACGAAGGAAAGGTCTGCACTCTATCTACCTACTTCGTATTTTATTTCTCCATTACTCTAGGTAGATAATTCATTTGCCTACTTCCAGATATTGTCAACTATTTCGTTTTTTTAATATTTACCGGGGAACCAGCCTCTTTAATAATGCAAGCTCTCTATTTCGTCGTTGCAGCTGCATCCCGGTTGTTACTCTCGTCACGAGCCTTCCTTATTTGGTTATTAATATTTAGACGTCGGCTAATCCGTCTGACACGGCCATATGCAGTTTGGCATAGGACGGACAATTACCTTTCTCATTTCCTAAATTATTCCGGCTAAATGTACCGTTCGTCGATAGACCTTAGATTTTAGATAAATCGAACGTTTCGCTTACTTTATTTACTTATCAACTACAAAAAGCATAACCCCGATTTATCGAGCTGTTTCCTCTCGAACATTAATTCTGCCGAATGAATAATGTATTTGCATCGTCCTATGTTTGAACATCCCAATTACAACATGACCGTTATATCATTTATATTAAACCGCGTAAATAGATTATGAAGCGTCAGATGGCATTCGAATCAATTTTAATCCCGAATGGTCTATAATATGACTAGGAAATTAAATCCTAAGCAAACAGATGTCTCGTCGCCGCTTTTCCCTTTACTTTCCTCTAAATTACCTTCGTGACGTTTCCTGCATTATTTATTTATTTTTTTCCTTAGAAAGGAATGACTAAAACGAGAGATCCGAGTTTTTCCTACGTCGACTGAAATAAGAAATCAAGTGAAAATTTCAATTAGAAAACAACAATAATAATAACACTTTTGAAAATGAATTCTATATACTATACAAGGCAATTTTTAATTTAATAAATAATTGAAACTTTAAAAGTATCTGCGAGCTCGGAAAATATTTACTTTACATCTTAAATTATTTATTACAAACCCGAAAGATAGTTGGAAGCAGGAAATAAAGGTAAAAAAAGTTAATAAATGACATGTCAGGATTAGAGTTTGAAAAATCAAATTTATTTTTAGTGAAAGCTTGCTTCGTTATAACGGAAATGAAAGTTTCTCGAATCGTTTAGTGAGCAGGTGATCTTCGAACATTCATTCCTTGTTTGATTGGTGAAGAACTAGGTCTAATACTTTCTCCCACTTTAATCTTTTAGTTCCTAGCTGACTTTTTAGCATGCGCTTCTTTTCTTTTTCTTCAATTTCCAACGGTACTCTAGTTAATTTAACTCTTGTTCGCATTAGCAAACAGATTTATTTTCGTATAGTCTAATGTAACAACTGGAATCGGGAATGGATTTTTAACTCTCGTTTGACGCTATTAACAAGAATGAATGAACTGTCGCCGATACAGACGGGAGAAAGGATGACCAAAAAATCCAAGAAGCGAGTTGGATGATCGGTACACGAAGATTGAAGAGAAGATGGATGATCGTCTCGAAATAGATGAGGGAACGAAACATCCATCTAAAAAATGAAAGGTTGACTATTCTCTGAAGAAGCCACTGAACATTTAAACCGAAACTGAAAATATCGAACCCGATCTCGACATCTTACGTGATACTGAAAAATATGAAAGCTCGTCATCACTAAAAATATATTTATTTCTCCTATCCTACAAGCTGTTGCTCTTACAGTAAATATTATCCGGGAGACAGACATTGAGCTTCGTTCAATGTAAAATGATGCATCAATTAATAATAATGAAGACTTTAAAGAAAAGCTTTATACACACAGTTTATATATATATATGTGTGTGTGTAACTTTAATTCAAACGCTGACTGAGTATTATCAACAATCATCGGACCATAGTTCAATCTTATTATGGTAAATTGTAGTAGTAACATACCGCCTTTCCATTTCCGAAGTTAAACGACAGTTATGACGGTCTAGTTACAACACTGAAATATGATTTAAAGACTCGACAATTTTACGCTCTCCAGTGGAAGCACACTAGATTGCTACAAAACTCTTTCAACCAGAGAATAATCATCATTAACGAATTACTAACCAATTTCGCAAATTTACTATTTAACTTATTGTGATGAAATATTAAAAAGAAAGAACTTCTATAATATAAGATAAGTCCTTTTTATAGAAAACATTTAGCTTTCGTGAAAATAAATAATGAAAAAATATCATTTAATGAAATAAAACTTATTCTATTACCAAGTTATATTGAATACGATTAAAACTTTTGATTTCCTTCGTATTTTTTTTTTTTTTTTAATTCATTGGACTTAAAAAGTATGTAATTTGATTTCTATTCTACAAATAAAAATTTCAGAAACTTATATTTTGTATATCACCCGTTTACAGATTGGCAAGGCACTTCTGTTGTTCGCAATATTTTGGTAAAATCTTTAAATTGCGTGCGAGCTAGGCTGCCTTTTTTTTTTTTTTGCTTTATTATTGTAGTGTTTCGCTATGTATTAGCATTTGTATGTGTAACAACATTATTTGCATACGAGAAGCGCAAATGTTGTAGGGTTAATTTATTTTTGCCAGCGATTTTAATTTCGTTCTTAAAAGAATGTCTTAAATTTTAAATATTGATCTTAAAATCGCTTATTTGGATAAATGTTCTTCCTTGTAACTTTAGTTTGAAATTGATGTTGGAGATTTATTAAATTCGAAAATCTTTACCGAGTAGATTGTATTTGATGTTGTAATTAAGACATTGTATTAAAGTTTTGATCAAAAATTACTCCTCTCTATTTCCGAGTGATGCCGAATGTTCGTGTCACCTTGATTAATTCATACAACTGATTTTAGTGATTTCCATAAATAGTTGGGTCAAGGTTTCTTCGTTCTTTGTAAATTCCACAACCTACTTATTGTGGATTAAACCTATAATTAGCAGGCCAATTTAGGAGAAAAACGAAGCCATAACTGAAATTATTAATAAAAATTATCACAATAAAAATGAGTTGG